CGCGCTGAACATTCGTATAAAGATTAAAAAAAAAAAGACTCCTCGCATTGTGAGCTTGGGCCGCCTGTGTTTTAGACCGAAATTTCAGGAAATTTTTATTGAATGGATCGCTCCCCGGATGCTTTCCATTAATTATTTCCTTTCCGGAAATTTCGGTAGGAAGTCAAATGGAAAAATCCGTTTCGGTTCCTTCCTACCGGAATATTCGAGATCACCTCTGGAGGTGGCCCATTTATTTCTGTCGGAATATCCCGACCGAAATTTGCCGTTCCATTTTGACAAACCGGTTCATAGGCTCGATTACCAGCCGCAGTTCGAGAAAAGAGCCCGCGCTCCTCCCCCGAAGGCACGGCTGGACGCGTGAGGATTCTTTTGTTAGTCTTAGCCAATCAGTTAACCGCCCGCAGATTTTTGTCGGGCATAAATTATCTCGTCAGCGAACGATGTGGAATTGATAAATGGCATGCGAAAGAACTTCAGAGACAACTAAGATCGAAAGTTTAAAAATTCACGACAAGAAACGATAGAAAAGCTGGTCAATGGCCAAGACTTGTTCCTTTTTCAGCCAACAGGGTCGGGAAAATTTGAATCTTTTGCTTCCGGAACGTCAGAAAACCGGTCAACAAAGACGAAACATTGGACTCAAGAAACCAAACAGTCAGTCAAATAGATGTATTACCTTCTTTAGGGATAGCGACAGCAGTCGCTGGTGAAGCCGGGCAAATTTTTTTTTTTTTTTATAAACGAGCTAAATCGCGGGTAAAGCAAACCTAACTAGCAAAACATACATGACAAGTTTCAGGGTATCAACTCAACCTCGGAAACCATGCAGACCAACATGTCACCTTTGACATGGATGACCAGTTTGCTAAACCGCAGTCGAACGGCGCTGCTTTACGCAAAAAAAACGAACTCTTCCTTCCATGTATAGAGCGCTCTTCCGCAGCAATAATGTGAAACAAAATAGGTTGGAAAAACAAAATTTCAAAAAAGAGAACGGCAAATGTACAAATGTTTCGAGCTGTAAGTGTCATGTGGAGCTGTCCAGGTTGTAATCAGATGACATTTCCGGCGACCAGGAGCGCCGCGTAAATTAAATTATGAATTTACGTCACAGACATGGTTTGCCGCTCACGCGTCCAGCCGTCTCTTTTCGGTGAGGAACGTAGACCAGATACGAGAGAGCGGCGGAAATCGAGCCTAAACGGTTCATTGCCCTACTTCTCTCCACTTATGTAGCGAATTCGGAAAAGGAATAAAAAATGACCAGAGCCTGATTTCTCTTGGTTGGTCCCGTTTTACCGGAAAGTGTCGTTCTATTTTCCTCGGGTATTCCCATTAGTCTCTGACCGTTCGGTTTGGCATAATGGAAAGCACCCACCATCTACGGTTATATTACGAACTCACAATGTAACTAGCTCTCAGTTGGCTTGATAGCGCAGTTGGTAGAGCACTGCACCGGTATCGCAGAGGTCATGGGTTCGAATCCCGTTTAGGCCTGAATTTTTATAACTGCGATGATCAATCATGTCTTCATATTTTTCTCCGTATAGTTCAAATATATGCTCGTTCATATATTAATTTGTGCACAAGAATTTTCTACGCTTATTGGGCTTATGCAGCATAAGCCTACGAAAACAGTAGGAAAATGTGATGAAAATGATGTCATCTACCGTTCTCTACATAGTGAGAACCAATCAAAATGTGAGAATCAAGCCCACTATTTCAGCCAATCAGAGCGCGCGTTATATGGAAACTAAATACTACGCAGTTGTCATAGTGCGTGACCACTGTCGAAGTGCATTTTGGGATTGTAGTTCCTGCTATATCACTGCTCGAGTTGAAGAGAGGTGAAGGGGGTGGAAGCGCTCGAGTTGAAGCGCTTGAGTTGAAGCGCTTGGACATCGCTTGAAAGCGCTGAATTGAACTATGGCTGCAGTACCATTTAAAGGAAATCCAACCAGGAGAGAATCGAGAAGGTTAAAAAGAAAGGAAAAACAAGATGAGCTAGGAGTGTGTCGGATCAGACGGACTACAGGAGATCAACGCTCACAAACTCTTGGTTCTGGCTTCGTCGTTAAGAATCTGCAGATTTTTCCAGACCTTGATTTCTATTACTGTCTCATATCAAGCGGCAAAGCCTTCCCCAAGGATGACTGTAACATAGAAAGTTATTACTTGGACTTTAAAAAGTTAGATTCAAGTGAATTGAAAACAATTAAGTTAACGAACGTCGCTGCCAATCCAGCCAACTTTGTCCGAACTTCCGGCTTGGTGGTAATTCCCATCAAGCCGTCAAAGGAATGCCACAAAGATGAAAGCATTTTTGATTATCGACCATTTACAGTTATCAACGCAGGAATCGCACCTGGTGTGAACTTAAAGTGTTATTTTGTAGATGATGGTCCGGGGCAAACAAACTTTTCGGTAATAGGGCTGGAGCTGAAACGATCAGAGACCGTACCAACGCAGTTCCAACTTCTTGAAGGTCTTGAACGTCCTTACACAACGTATGATGAACTTACTTGTCAGGGGAATCGTAAGCCCTATGGTGCTGTCATCTTGAAGAAGCGTGGTAACAACGAATTTTTGGCTGTTGGAGCCCTAACCTTTACCGATAACGAATGCAGAAACATAACTTCCGCGTTTTTTCCACTCCGTCTAGCAGATCTAGTCACTCGTAAGTACTAAATACAACTGTGTCAAAATTGTTGCATCTGTCCAATTTACCACAAAACAACTGCAGTAAACATGAACTGAAACCTGGAACGGCGTATAGCCAGAATGGTGAAAATAATTAACGGGTGCAGTTAATTATGTTGTGTATTTTCACTCGTGGTCACTTGTAGCTACTTGTGTGTACTTTTAATTAGGCAAGGTCTGTTTCTTTATTTGTGTTACTTTATTAATACAGAGTGAATTCGTTTAAACCGTTCTTTATGTGCTAATGAGGCGCATAATATCCTAATGGATTCTAATGACCAGTTTGAGTACGCATGAGATCATTTTGCCGCTGGAATGTACTGGACTGTTTAAAATCTGAACCAGAATATTCTTTGCTAGGGAAAAAACAATGGAGGTGCATGAAATACGCGTATTATTTACTTATGAGTATTCTTGCCATTTTTCTGATATTACTTTACATGATATGGCTTGCTTTCTGATGCCTGTGGCTGGAAAACACTCACGCTGCCACTTGCATGTTGGCATGCACGCATTGGAAGAAAACAATATCTCATTTAAGGTTTATTATTTTGAAAAAATTTCCACAATTAGGAATTTGAAGTGCTTGGAGAGTTTTCCATTCAACCTTAAATTCCACAAATTTAGAAATGGGGACAAATGGTACGGAAATTTCCCAGGAAATTTTGCAAAAGATCTGGAAGTTATATATTTAATATTTATTTATTTATTTTTATTTATTTATTTATTTATTTATTTTTTGCAAAGGATCCAGAGATTATTGAATTTTCCCAAAGTGAACCATTAACCAAAAATACTGGAAGGAAAACCAATTTTGAACAAAAATTCCCAGTAAGAAATTTCCAAAAACTTGGATACACTTTGTGAGGTTGTTCTCGTGTTCATGAATTCTGGAAAATGCTGTTCCATTCATCAATGGAAATTCCCGGAAATTTGAACCAGAGTTTTTCCACCGAATGAAAAGTGCCGTTGGTTTCAGTTTTGTGTGTGCTTTTTTAATTGTTTTTGTTATTACCATTTGGTGATTCTCATTAGCATATAAAAAACAGTTTATATGATTTCACTCTAGTCAGTCATGAGACATTTTGTGTACATTCTAACAGAGTATTTCAGGATTGTGTACCAGTAACCATAATTATGTTAGGTGACTGTACCCTTTATATTTCAAACAGCTGGGAATCCCTGTGTCTTTCACTTTATTGAGTTATCTTTTTTGGTCAAAGAAAAACTTCTTACCCATGGCAATGGACTTATCACAGTCCATGGCTGAGTGAGTGAGTGAGTGAGTGGGTATGAGTATGTGTAAATGGGCAAGAGAGCATGTTACATCTGATGGTCTAAAAATTATTTTAATCAGCCTCAAAAAGATTTCTTTAGCATGCCTTGCATGTCTATGTTATAGTAGCTGAGTTATGCAAATCAGATGTTAATTATTAAATGAGTTTTCAACAATAGTTAATGCATATTATGCAATTCCATCTTTTTTTGTAGAAACATCTGAACCTTTTTCAGGTGGCAATGAGTACCCAGTCCCAGTTTCTGAGCAGCAAGTTTCTGTTGATAATGCCCCTTCAATTGAAGTTGAGTCACCTGGAATGGCAAGTACAGGTAATGAATGCAAATTATAACCACATTACAGTATTTCTTTCACTTAAAGTGGTACTCTTATCAAATTTTTACCTATGATCAAATTTTTCAAGTGCATCACACAGAATTCCACAAAAGAATATAAATGGCATTTACTGTTTGCAAAGATTTACATTAGCTCCATGGATATTTAAGTTTGAAAAATGTGTAAAGCATGCAAATGAGATGACTGATGACATCATACACTCAACCCAATATTAGATCAAGTGTATAAATAGAGCTATCTTGGGCAATTTGCAACACAGACCACTGAAACTTGGTAGGCTAATAGTTCTACAGGCAAACCACCTACAGCTATCAAAAATTCTGTTCCCATGGCAACTTACTCTTTTTCAATGAATGAATGAATGAATCAATCAATCAATCAGTCCATCCATCAATCAATCGATCTTTATTTAAAACACAAAATTTTATCATAAAAATGGTCTTCCTAGGTGTTGTGTGATAAGTTACAAAGAATAATTAAACTATAAGAATAGGAATGGATTAACCAACATGACATTGCGTTAACTAATGAACCAATTAACTAGCATACAATAAAAACCTATAAAATAAACCTTTCTTTAATTTATAATGCACTAAAAATAATCTTTCCCATTCAGTGAGGGTTTAAACACTTTTGAACTAGGCATGTCTGATTTCTGAGGGAATCTTGTTCCACAGAACAGATCCTCTGTAGTATAGGCTTGCATATTCAGTTCTTGGTCTGGGGACATAGCAATTTATCTCAGAGTTTCTAAGATTGTGCGCATGTACATTTGAGGTCTTGGTAAAAATCCGCCTCAGGTACGATGGGGAAAGATTATTATGGATTTTGTACATAATCATAGCCAGTTGTTTATGTCTTTTGTTTTCCAACCTTTCCCAGCCAAGTTCATCCAACAAAACACTTGAGTGAGTTTAATTTTGTAATTTAAAGTTTAAAACATCAATATACTAGGTCTAAACTATAAGAAAAAAAATTGATTTTTGCCTTCAGTTCTCCTTTAAACAGTCCTATTTTGCAGTTTTTGAATTTTGTCCGATAGCCCCTTGCGGATGTTGCCCCATACAGTGCTACAGTAATAATTGAAATAAGGCATACCATGTGCATTATACATGTTCATTCTTAGCTTGTATCAAATGGTATAGTAGTGCTTACATATTTAAAGATTGCAAGACCAGCAAAATTTTCTTTGAGGTAGCATTTATTTGTTGGCACCAATTGAGAGATTTGTCAATGTAAACTCCAAGAGATTTTTGTTTGCTTATGCTATCTAGTGGTGTGTTATGGACTTTGACTGTAATTAAAAATCATCATGTATTTGGGATACCTTGAATTTACTCCCTATGAGCATTTACTTTGTTTTCTTGACATTGTGTAGTTCCAGAAAATATCCATACCCCCCACAGAGGGTCACAGAAATTCCAAGGGGTAAGGGGGTCTGAAAGAGGTAAATTTCCGAAGGGGAGAAAGCTACTCAAGGAGTTTTCTTTCCAGTGGGTCTGAAATGCGATTGAATGAACACTAACGTACTTTCCCAATTGATTCAGGTAACCAAACAAACAGAAATGTTCCATCCGTTGAGAAATAAATGTTAGATTCTCTGTCATATATTTTCCATTTTTTTTCTGACGTTGTATGACTGACAGTAATCCTGAGTATCGTGTTTGTTAGACATCGAGTTGAACAAAATGCAGATGAAGAGGTGCAGCAATTCATGAACAATGAATTTGGTATTTTATATTTTGAAGATTGTGCTGTATTTAGCTTAAATGCAGCTCAGATGCTTTTTCCAGCATTAATTATGCCGTCAATTAAATGTGATTTGTACTTTGTTTATTTCGTTTGATATTCGTACAAAATTATTCCCCATTTCGGACTTGCCGTAACTAGGTTATCACATATTTTCATTGTTATCCGTGTAGTTAATAGTTTGCTTTTAGTGAGCAAAGTCAATTCAAAGCCATTTGTCTTGAACTATATAATTATGTAAACGTGGACAGTGAGGAGCGCTGTAATTGGAGCAGTAGCCAAGATTTCATTCGGTAATTTATAGACTGAACAATGCGTGTTTCACGTATGAAATGTATGACAATTAAAAAAACTAAGGCATAAAATGAATTTACTATCATTTACAAACTACAGAGACAAAGCATATTACTTAATTGATGTATTCCTTTGGTGAAAGAAAAAATAAAGTGACATTTGGGAAACAGCTGTTTTGAAAAATATTGTTGCGTGACGACTTTACTGCGTGTGTAAAGTAATTCGATATGTTGTTTTGACCATGCATACATGTAAATTAAAACTTTGACTGGGTTATTTGAAAGAACTTTATGTACATTCTGAGATTCTTATATGAAAACTTCCTTTAATGAAGAAAAAGTCAGCTGCTATGCCATTTGGAAGTGAAGCACTTCTAAGTCAGTTGTTTAATATTAGTTTAAACACCGGTTCAAACATTTTAACATGACATGAAGGAACACGCCGTGTGTGCAGTCTACCATGAAAAAGTACGCCTTTGTCCACAATGTGATTATAAACAGCTGTGGCTAAATTTTATCACAATTAGTGAGTTAAGTCTTGTTTCTTATGGATACGGAATTTCCGAGGGGTAGGGGGGGCCCAAGTAGAAAAATCATGGAAATTCCAGGGGGTGGGGGGAGTACTGTGAAGCCCCCTGGAACGGAAAATCCTGGGGTGGGGGGTCAAACTGGAAAAAATCCTCGGTGGGGGAGTATGGATATTTTCTGTAT